CTTCATTGGTTCACTCAACTATTAGACTACGGTACTTGACTCTTCTTAGTTTTGCTGTTTCATGTCTTGTAGTCTATCTAGTTTCCCACTGTGAATGTTGATACTAGGTTACATTCGTTTTGAATGACTGTTACGGAATATCTTTCACATTTTGATATTTCATGTCTTCCCTGATTTTATATTTCCTGTAACGTTATGTGAAGCCCTGACTCCAGCTGCCAATCACTAGATCCCATTAACAGGTACCTCAATTCCTTTCTAGCATAAAGGTATGGTTTATTCGTTGCTGATCCTGTTGTCGCCCTCAGCAAACCATGGGTTCCACTGTAACCAATAACCATGCGCCATCAGAATTTGACATTTATTGCCCATTGTTAGCTGATGGGCATCACAATAGCATTGTTGTGATACAATCCACTAACGCCATCTCCATGGCTACCGAATCAGTGGTGTTCGGAGTTGTCTTTTCTTTTGTTGAAGCCTAAGTGACTATTATAGTCACTTTGGTTGAAGCGAGCGATTGCTGGTTACAGCAGATCGTCTCGAGATATTTTATGTATTTTTTTCCTCAATTTATTTAAACTTAGTTCGTTTTTTTGTTTTTTAAATTATAGTGTTAGACTTATTTTATAGGTGCCGCTGCTCGATAACCAGTATTGGTTTCTCGCGTCTCCTTCACCCTGAAATATGGCCAATTTATAATTTAATTTATTGCAATTTGTATGTTTGTGCCTATTTTAAGTATGGTGAGAAATAAACTACTGATTACTGATTACTGATTACTGTAATCGACATTTTTATGGTTGCGGATTACCGTGTTATTTTGGAGTACTGGTGCTTTTATTTTATCGACGCAATCGCAGATTTAATTCATCACAATTAAATGAATAAAGCAACCTTTTTAAATAAGTGTATCAATCATGAATTGAATATTTTATTCAACAGAAAAACCATTACATATCCGTTGAAAAAGTCGGCTCTTTTAACGACTGGCGTAATCTCGAGGACTGACTCAGAAGCCGTACCGCGGGGATTTCGTTTCGATGAATATGTATTTTTCATCTACTAATATACTGGGATATTATACCAGTTCTTTCTAATGACGACAACGAATTCGCATGAGTGCAATATATATAAAAACTAAATATAATCGGGCAGTTGATCACGCTTTATTATGTCCGCGGATTGGCGTGGTATTTTAGATAGGTAATGAGTTTATTTTGTCGTGAGTCACCGCAACCGCGAGTTACCTTGAACACAAATGAATTGAAATAGAGAGACATTTTGAATTACTGTAGTTATTACGAGACAGAAAAATGTATTATAACACGAAAAAGCCGGCATTTTTAACGAACGCGGAGACCGTTTCAGGAGCCGTTACATGTGAATTTCCGATTCCATCTTGTGACCTCTACCCCAGTTCACTGATTCTGAATTCATTATTGTCAAATTTCCATAATCAGCAAACTAGGTACTTCCATTATTTTTCACATTTATTGAGTCCTTAGCCACACAGATAGTAATATTCTTCTGAATTAAATGCCACAAGAGATAAATTTGCAATGACGTAATCATATTTGAAGATATTGTACGGTATAAAGATGATTTGTACCTGAGATGTCAGTTAACGGTTAAAATGAATCGTAACCGTTAACCATCTGAAATCGGTTAACCGTTCCCAGCCCTACTTATGACTCATACTTGTTTAAGATGCGCGTCAAAGTCATATCCCTTTTCCGAGAAACAGCAATCCCAACAATAGAAAGAAGCTTTGCATCGCGTTTCGCATATGGGGCACTTTCCGAATTCATTTCGATAAACTGTAATACTGGATCGATCTAACCCAGCGTTTCCCAACCTTTTTTGGTCGAGTACTATTTTCTCACCGGCGAAAACCTTTGCGGACTCAAGGTGCGTTTATTGCAACCGTACTCAGTGTAAAGAAGCAATAAAACCAAACACAACAGAAATTTAACGAATTTCAAAATCGGAAATCCGCCGCAATTACGCGTTCGTTAAAAGAGCCGACTTTTTTGGTGTATAATGGACGTTTCTGTCGCACAGTATTCAATCCATGACAACGACGAGAATTTAAAATGTCTTTCTATTTAAAACTAATTGTGTTCATCATGATAACTCGCGGTTGCGTCGACTTACGACAAGATGAAAGCATTACCTTTTTAAAATTCCACTGCCATCTGCGAACATAATAATGAGAGAATATATTGCCTGATTATATTCAGCTTCGATACATATTTTTTGCGATCTTGTGAATTTGTTATCGCTGTTAGAAAAAATCATACTATCTGCTATAAATTTCCAGAATGTACAACTTAATTTAGTATTTATTAAAAATATATTTAAAGTTTATATATTAGTAAATCGAAAATACATATTCATCGCCTTGAAATTCTCGCGAACAACTTCTGAAGTAATCGTCGCGTATACGTCACTCGTAAAAAAGCCGACTTTTCAATGGTATTTTCTGTTGCATAAAATATTCAATCCATCCACATGTGTGATTCTTTTAATCTGCGGTTGTGTTGACGAAATAAAAACAATACTACTCAGAAAATACTATGACAATCCGTGGACACAAAAATGCGTGTTAAAGTGCCCGATTATATCTTGTTTTGAATCGTATTTTTGTGAATTCGACAAATCTGTGGGAATTCGACATTACTACTGCGCGTACTTACAACTTCTGAAGTAATCGTCGCGTATACGTCACTCGTAAAAAACCCGACTTTTCAATGGTATTTTCTGTTGCATAAAATATTTTATCCATCCACATGTGTGATTCTTTTAATCTGCGGTTGTGTTGACGAAATAAGAACAATACTACTCAGAAAATACTATGACAATCCGTGGACACAAAAATGCGTGTTAAAGTGCCCGATTATATCTTGTTTTGAATCGTATATTTGTGAATTCGACAAATCTGTGGGAATTCGACATTACTACTGCGCGTACTTACTGTGCGACATTAATAATGTGGGCGCAGTAAAGCAGAGAATCCTAAAGAAAAATGCCCCGGTACGTATACTACAGTAGCACCCGAAATTTTGCGATTTGCAATGTCTAAAAAAGCGTTTTTAATCGGTCGCGGACCGCTTTTCAATTTAGAAAATTTGGGTTGCCACCATTTACACCTACCAACCTACCAGAAAAATAATTTATTCCTCGTTGTTCGAACTCGCGAGAAACACCTATTACGAATCTATCGAAGCGTGTACAGACTCTTGTTTTCGTCGGAAATCCACAAGTGAGTTGTGAAATCCAATCGTTTTTTTAAGCGACTCGCAAGTGACCTGTCGCGTCACGTGTTACCAAATTTTCGATTAGTAAATGTGCTATTCTAATAGTTGAATATTCGAATATATGCCCAGCCCTACTCAGTAACCGGTAATTACTGACGCGATTAATGTCATGTGAATAAACTGACTTTTTATGTTTTTTTGTAAATTCTAACGCAAATCCTAACTTGGCTGATAGTTAATTAAGTTATGAAAAAAACGTTTGCGGCCCGCAGTGAATTTCTGACTCGTTGCGGACTCATTTAAACGCTCTGCGGACTCATCTGAGACCGCGGACTCGGGTTGGGAAACACTGATCTAACCTAACTTGCTCTATCTAAACACGCGCAATCTAAAATATCGCTACTCTTGAATATCTGAAACTTGTACGGCACTGTGTATGACGATTACTAAACACCACATTTCATTTACTTGTGGACGTGGGTCGCACTTTCATTCAACATAGGCTTTCTCGTAGTAACAAGCACAAACATTTTGTTATTGATGTTATGACATGGGTTATCAGTGCCGTAATATAGCCGTGTCGATATCGGATGAGAACCGATATCGGCAATAAAAGCGGTATTGGTATAACGATAAGATAATTTATTTCGAGGGAAAGGAAAGCCGACAAGACGGCTAATTCGTATAGCGCCCAACGGCCTTCCATACGATTACCAGTCCATGTCAGGTATAGCATTAGTTGGCTAGTTATTTGTTAGTGATGCATGTAATTGATGGTGACCCGAGCGAGGTCCTAACGTTTAGGACGATGACCGAGCCCAAAGATAGAAGGAGCCCTAATTTATTTCGACTTTTTAGTGAGGGGGCGTTTGTTAGTAAAAAGTTGCCCAAGGGGGCGCTGCTAGAATAGGTTTGGGAAACAATAATTTAAAATTTGAAAGTATTATTTGGTGTACGCATGTGTAATCAGAGCTGAATACATTTGAATACAAACTTGATGATTTATCCCATGGCTCAGTTAATTAAACACCACATAAAATATTTTGACATTTGCCCCAAACAAATCACACCTTGAATGAATGCTTTATCCTGTTGCTCTTTAAAGAACCGTTCGTTCGATGTTCCATTGGCCACTCATGGATCATGATCAATAAGAGATTTTCGCAGCATTATATTTCATATCTGACTCATATCAATGCAATTAGGACAACTTAGCAATAGTTTAGTTTGAAAAAAAGTATATCCAAATCGTGGAGTCCATTTGCTTTCAGATCAGCTAAAGTTAAATCCTCGCATTCGACATAGCATGCGCAGGGATCTGACTTAAATAAAAAAAGACTGTCAATGCCAATTGTAGTGGTGTCGATTGTAGTTCCACACATATTTGATATCTTCATTTTTGTCGTCAAGTTTGAAAAATTACCAGATAAACTCACCAGCTGATTCACTCAAAAGGACCAGTGTGAATGTATGGAACGGTTTTATGAAGATTCTGATTTTTTATAAATTATCATTGTAATTGAATTTATCATTGAATTACTCTAAAATATTATTAAATTCAATGCATTTGATATATTTGAATGTATAGACATGGCAATGTTTTATGTGAAGATAAAACGTGCTTTGATGATTCCAACGTCACAGAAACGCTGTTTATCCATACAACATCAACCATCTATAAAAATCTTCAGTTGTGACCTTAGCATCATTCCCCTTAGACGGCACAGTCAAAGTAACAAAGGCAAATGATGACCATGTTTATTACAACTTTAGTCGTTGCTTCAATTTTTACTTGTTCCCGGGTATCTTCAGTATCTTATTGTCAACTTCCTCAAGTGAGCGCGGAAATTGACATTGGAAAAGTGCAAGGTGATTGGTATGTTTCAGCACACCAAAATCAAGAGATGTTTAACGTTATACGTTGTGAAGTGTCAACATCTACAAAAACTGAACAAGGTATGATTTAATATATATAATTATTAATCGATAAATGAAAATAGATGCCTAAAAGTAGTTTGTTATCAAAATTAGTATAGTTTTGCAGTATGATTTTTTTTCGATTGTAACCTGCCAAAACTACTAGATAACATTTATTGTCTGTAGGGAATCAGGAAAAAACATTTCGATGAATATTTGAATATCTAACTATCTTTTTTCTATAAGTAGGATGAAACTGCATTTTTCAATTGTTAAAGGCATTTCCTATTATCGGAAGACACGTGTCAAATATGTGCTATTTTTCTCCATTTAAATCTCGAATACATTACTGGCTGCTCACATCAGTGAATTTGAGTTTTTGTACATATTTTGAAATATAGTGTCCAAAAATGACCACCGATATGACGTGAGCTAATTTTCTTCAAATTCTCTAAATGCAAATATATCCCTTTTTTAGGTTTCACAGCCTACTTTAAGATTTACAACGGTGGAAATTCGAGTAATATTAAAGAAGTTAGGTCAGTATTTAATCGTGTTGCCCCTTCAACTTTCCACATCGTACAAAGCAAAGGTTACAGTGATGAAATTGCAGAAATTAAAAAAGAAGATACGAATTCTGGAGCCGAAGCAAATATCGTGCTTGAAAACGATTCAGTCATACAAAATCCTTTACTTTTCATATCAGATAATAAGACATATAAGCTGATCCTTCATTGTAACTTGAACGGCGGTAAGGAAATTCTTGTTGAAACCAGAACCCCATCAGCAAAGAGTGAAGTCATTCTTAAAGTACGTAACAAGTTGATCGAATTCGGAAACGGTTGGGAAGACGTTAAAGTTTATCCTAGCCAATGCGATAGAGTTATTGGTAAATAAAGGAAAAATGACCGTCTAACTATTGAGAAATATGAAATATTTGGAACTTGGTAAAAATGTTATGCAGAATAATAGGAAAATTACAAATTATTTATTGTCTTTGTTATTAGTGACAATTTTTAAGCCTTTTCATTTTCACGCATATTCCATGTTCGGAAATAAAATATAATTGGAGTTCACGCTGCTTGTGCATATTTTTATTCAATTAGTATAACCAGGCAACCCATTGAGTACTTGTAAATCATTTTCAAAGTCTTAACTTCACGAGACAAATCCGGTTAAAATTGCTGAAATAGTAGAATCAACTCCGGATAATTGAGCAGAATCATCTCAACCTAAGGGTAGAATTGCCAGTTCATCTAAGTCCCGCTTTCTCATTATTTGTTCAAGTTGCGCTCAAAGTGTAATAAAGTTGACTGGACTTATGCATGTAACTAATATTTGAGTACGTAATCTTTAATATGGACGTTCATAATTCTGGCTTCAGCACCTATCAGTTACCGTCCATGACCTTGATCATAGATGAGTATTCACTATTTTTGAGTGAGTATGCTTAACCTCGTTTTGTGCAAAATAAAAACACGGAGCCAAGTAACGGGTGGATAATTAAGTATCTATATCAGGGTGGTCCAAACCCAGGCCCGCGGGCCACATGTGGCCCGCCGCTCCATAATCTGTGGCCCGCGCCGCATTCGGAGAGTAATCAAAATATCGTATTTTAAGTTTCTTCTCATAAAATAAGTCAGAAAAATCGTTTGACATATTGTTGTTATATCACTATTGCAACTGAATTGACTAGTATGATGGCTAGCTGAAGCAACTATAGAAGTTAAATGATGTGATGGACAGTCTAAATTGTTACCTGGATTTCTATCGTTTTGGTCGGGAATATATCGTTTTGGTCGGGAATATATGCTAACAATATAGGCATGATAGAAAACTAAAAAATCGAATGCGGATTTCATTAGCCTAGGTTGGCAATGCCTGATAACTATGTGTTTACACAATAGAAGTGCTTGTTTTGTATTGCACTGTTTACCTCTTCTTGGTACTATTGTGGCCCGCGACCAATGCCAAAATAATTTTGTGGTCCGTGGAGCCCACAACCTTGGACCACCCTGATCTATATGCTTATATTAGGCTTACACTACGCGAATAAAATAAATAGTAATGAAAAAGGTCATCATACACCAAGGAAAATAAATTTGTTCATAGCTGTCAACAACCTAATAACATCCAAAATGTAAACTCCATGGTCTCTAACGAAGAACGCTGGTCTTCCTAATTAGGGTATCCAATTCGGGTATATTATTTCGATCCCAGGTTTCTGGTTCCGCAATTCCCGAACCCGTTTTTTTCATTTTTTCCGCAATGTGCGTTTAGTTTTTTGTTATATATTAAAAATTAATGAAAATGCATTCATACTACTAATTAGTGCATTTGGACCGTATGTTGCTGCTCATATTATTTTCAAAATTTTTTCGTTGATTTTGAATTGACACATAAATATAAGAAACTAAGGCATGTTCTTCATGTTTGAACCATCCCCAACTTGTTAAGGTAAGACTAATTGTAATTACTAGTTAGCTTACAATAAGACACATAAGTTACGCTGCCTGCACAACTTTTAATTTACTATCCACAAACAAATTTTCGAACGTTTGGCGGAAATTTAGAAGTCAGCAAGTAGTATGCCTTTATTTTTACCGGGTTTCGCTCAAAAGGCTTCGACGCCCGTGTTTTTTTTTACCTCGCGTAAACCCGTGGCGGACACCCTGGTCTCAGTCATACTCACAGTAACTCACTTGCTCGTATAAGCAAATACATTTTACTTATGATAGGCTCCTATGCTCGTTTTTGACTTTGGTTGGTACGGCTAATAGATAGCGTACTTACAAAATCCGTTTATACCGGCTGGAGCAACCCACCAGCCCAGCGAACCTTTAGAACTCGGAAACGGACTGCTCACTCACAAAGTTTGCCACAAGCCCCCATCCTGGTACGGGAATGCACACTTATTCCATTCTCATTCCAAATATTGGATACCTTCCCGGTTCCAAAAATATCTGTGATATCGAACCATTGCGGTCCTTGTGCAAAGCTTCGTATTATTCATCACATTGGTACGGTGACCCGGCAATGCTTGGCATTATTAGCGTGCCAAATAAAATACCCGTTTACTATTTTCCTAATTTACGTTTGACCCACGTATAAACGCGAACTAATTACTTATAAACGCCAAATACGCTTTCATTCGTTAGCCTATCCTTTAGTAAAGAGTAGATTTGCGCACACACACTTAGTCAACATTAGTCGAAGTCATTGACCACGATTGCATCATGATGTATAATAATAATTATCTCCGCTTGGATTTGATGGTTGTGGGCTATCTTCAGCAATTTAAATTATGTGAACGATAACAAGCGTTTGCCAGACCGATAACAGCGACACCAGAACTCCGATTGGTTCCTGATTCGTAATTATTGAAAAAATCGTCACGGTTGGCTTGCATTTTTATGCCAAAAGTTTTCTGCGAGAACTTCAGTTTTGTGAAATTCACTAAGTGATGAATGTTTTTCTGATATTATTGGTTCAACTGCTTTAATTAAATCTAACGTCAAGGCGTATTCACTGACGTACAATGCAACACTATACTACACAATGCTATTTATTTCGGTAGCGAATGGCATTCCGCAGTGGTTCATTTAGCTGTTCGTTTTGGTTTGGCATCAATATCACTTGTGTGCGCTGATATTTTGGGTTTAATGACAATGTGTAATATCTATAACGACCGAGCTAGTATATTATGTCCATGTTCCCTGTCTTTTTTACATCTTGCATATTATGCATTTTAAATAAAATTTAGTCTGTGCTAGCCTGTGTTTTTGAAACCTTGTAGTTGTCAAATGTACGTTGCATCGAAGCCGCTTCTAGCAAAAAAAAAACGGATCGTGCAGTTCAGAACGAACGAACAGGTGATTCAAGTTTATATCCTTTTATTTTTAACATACAGGATATGGCGTTACTCGATGCGATAAACGAAGCTTTATTGAACCGTAATGCTATACGTACCAAGACAATGGGCCTGTGTTGAATGTTAAAGTATTTACTCTTATTGCAATCTTTCGAATATTAATTATTGTATTTGCGCTTAGATCAATAAACCGACTGTTGTGCATATCTTTTATTTGCCTAATATGCTTTCAAACCATGTGTTGCACGTAGTTTATCCTATCCGTCTTTTCGCGAATTGAATATTTCAAAAGTTGCAGCTTACTAATATTATGTGATTGTCATAAAGAATCAACAGATTTACCAGGGAATTTGCCAATATTTAAACTTAATCGTCTCATATTACTACTACGGCGTTATCTGTCGTTTAGAATAAGATTGGCTCTACATTGCTCAATATATCTCTCGAATGCAAAGATTACAAGTTATAGAAATCATAATATGAATATATATATATAAAACTATAACCGTTGACTCATTGGTAAAAATCAATATTTGAACATGTCAGAGGCTCGAGAAACCCTTGTGCAATAGTTTAATTGTGTTTTATAGTCTGACTTCCATAAACTATGAATATATACAAAAGCAAATCTAATACTAGCAAAGCAAAATGTTCTTTAAAGCGCAGAAAATTTAATAATGGTGGCAAATAATTAGGTATTTAATTCTAGTTAAACAATATACATATATTTAATGCAGACTCCAAGGAACCCCTGCACTCTATTGGCGAAATTCTAGGGTTCCGCGGAATCCCGTTTGAAAATCACTGGTCTATTATAATGTAAAGGAAATTATGTAAATGATAGGAAGTGGTATCGTACAGAAATTATAAGTATCATACATCAACACTATTTATCCATGTTTTTATGTCTAATCGTAACAAAAGTTGACAATAATTCCCCCTCTGGGCTTTTTCTCTCATTTCTTGGATGGTCAAATCGGTTCCATTACATGACAATTGCACCTGTATGCTATTGCACCTATGGAATTTTTAAAATTTCACGGATAGTTAAACCCATACTAACCCTAACCCATGGGTTTTAGCACCCGCATATAGATTGAACCCGTGGATATACGCATGGGTTCAAATGTACGTGGGTTCAAATGTACGGTCACCGGTCAAATCATTTTGTCGCGAAGTGCCCAGCTATCTCTTCTTGTACAGACAATGTCTCTTTTATCGCTTGTTGTCTTGTTGAATCATTTAGTCTTCTTAAGTGCGTTTCAAACTGATATATCTCCTCGGGCGATCGGAAATTCAAAAATCTGAATAATAAGTAGTTATGTTCTAGAGTTAGACAAATGATGAAAACTCAATTAAATAAAAAAGACGTACATTCGGTTATGTGTCGGCAATAGATAGCACATTGCCACATTCAATCACGCGATACCCAGTGTTAAACAGGGTATAATGAGTGACAAATAGGAATATGAGGCAAAACTTTTTTTTCTGGGGCAAACCGTATACCGGGCATGCCTGGTACAGAGTTGTTGACGTAGAGCACTCTTACTTATAATAAATATATATGAAACGTCAGTGAATTTCTTCGACATCAGTTGCACATCGTACGGCTGTCGGCTTTTTTATATTTAGAATTAGTAGACCGACCTCAAATGCTATATTTTTTCATATATTGTTCAACAATTGCTATCTCGTGATACAATTTATATTAGTATATTCAGATAGATATTGGTATCATCATATTTGGCAGAACAATGAATTCATACTATTCTAATTTGTAGCAATACAGCTAAGCGTGTTATCAGAATAGTTCCATACTAACTTGGTGGTGAATCTTGAGTCATATTGCCTTGTGAATGAGGAAATAATTTAACTCCTCACATTGCAAGTAAATTACTTCCGCCAGCAGTGACATGTGATCACTGCATGTCGTATATATATGAATACCATTGACGATAATGAAAGGCACAGATTTGCTAAAGATTCTATACTGATGACTATGATCATACTTTTAATTCCAAAATCACTTCGAGCAATTCTCTGAGCGAACGACCGCTACGGTATATTTTAATCTTCTATAAAACCACGTTTCCGCATCAATATAGGCTTGTGCTAAATACGTTATTGCAATGAAACTGTTGAAATAAAATTTTTTATAACATTTGTTGCTCATTCAGTTCTTGGAAAAGTATCTAACCGTATCGA